CTCATTCAGAGCCCCCAAGACTCTGAATTCCTGCTGACATTGAACCTTGGTGGTGCCGGTTCTCGCCTTTCATTCCGAGCATCACCTGAGTCCAACTCGTTTGCTCAGCGTGTCCGGGCGAAGATGCAAGCTGAGGAGGGTCTTGCTCTGCAGCATGGTTATCACGACTATCCCTCCTCGCCAGAAGAGGATGGATCACGCACTGAGAAGAAATCCGCCGCAGTCTCACCCGAGAGCCCCAAGTCGCTGTATGAAACACCGCCTATTTCGGAGACTGAGCCTCATCTCCCGGCGTTGACCCTTCGAAGTCCCGCGATCTCAAGCACACACAAGCAGGGAGGAACGAGTCCTATTGAACTGAACCTACCTGCTGCTCTCACCTCTGGCCCTGAACTACGGAGTCTTTCGCCTCCCAAGCCGCAGTCGATTCCTCGGGACCCTGTACAAAATCGTCCAGTCAGCCGAGACGAGCGCGACGCAACTCACGGGGCACAGTTACCGAAAGCTTCCCTACGATCCCTAGCCAACCAAGTAGGTGATGCTGCCTTCACGGATCTCAAGGCGTACGTGGCACAGTATTCTCCTTTAATACGCGCTGCAGCAGAGAGTGTGAAGCCTTCGATGGAAATTCCTCTAGCTGAGTGGGTAAGGGCAGCGGTATGGTGGTTCCTGCGTGGGAAGAAGAAGCTTGAAGCTTACGCCCGATCTCGCTCTTCCGGTTCTGGGGGAAGGACATCCCAGGGGAGCTCCCTGGTCAACGCCAAACAAGCAGTGGTGGACCTTGGCAAAGCCTTGTGGATCAGTGAGAACATCGTACCACAGCACAGTGAACTGTCTCGATATGGTACTAGGGGGATTGATGCACTTCTTGCTGTGGCAAGCACGACTGGTAATAAACGTCTGGAAGATTGTCTCTCCCTGCACCAAGCGATTATGAGTCACTTGCGCTCTCTGGCGATGTCAATCAAGAGAAACAATATTCTTTCTGAACTTGCTGCTGAAGGCGATGCGGCTGTCCAAGCTGACACGAATGTGTGGGTGAGGTACCCGGTTTTCGCCCCTGACGTCTCCGCAGTACTGTCTGGAGCAGCAACAAGGTCTGTCTTGGTGGACAACTCCGGAAAGGGTCCAAGCACTGTTCAGATGATGCCGCTCGGTGATACGAGCCGCCATTTCAGCTATGGAAGTATGTTTGTGGAGGCTTGCATCAGTTCAAAGGAAGACGACTCGCAGGAGCAACTTTCAATACCATGTGCTTTGTCTATACTACGTGACCGCGGAGACTGGTACGTATTTGCAGCAATTACAAGCCAAAGTGAATTGGTCAATGTCATGATCCAGTCGGACAGAAAGAAAGGGCCAACCTGGGATGACGTGGAATGGCATGTCAAGTCGCATTCCATGCGGGTTAGACTGCCGCGTGGCTTCGAGTTAGATGTCTCGTTTCAAGATGACGATTTCAAGAATCTCTGGAACATTGTCCAATATACGCTAAAAACTGAGGCAAGCCTTCAGCCGGAAGCTGGCGAAACCGTCATCTTCGAATACACGTTAAAGAACTTCCAGTATATGGACTCGGGGACTCCCAAGGCTTTTCCTGCGGAATCTGTGGAGCGCTGTCGGCTACGGTTATTTGAGCGTTCAGCAACGGTTACCGAAGGCACGGGCTCTCGGAGCGCTCATCGAGGCTTTCGGCTGGCAGTACTTACCAGTCCCAAGGTGAAGACATTGAGCAGTGTCCGCCATACTATTGGGCATGGTGCTCCGATTATTTTCGGACTGCTCAGAGGAGAAGATGGAGCCCCCGCGCTCATGCTTAAGGTGAAAGAAGACGGACGAAGTCGGTCCATGGTGATGACGTTCCAAGAAGCCGAGGGCCGGAACACCATGCATGCCCTGCTCTTGGGGATGACCACGAATGAACGGGAATTCAAGATACCAGATATACCTTTACGAGCCTACAGTATCGAGCAACCCGCGGACAAGTTCAATGGCCAGCCCGTCAAGGCTCATCTTGAGTTTCCCGCCGGTAACGTGTCAGTGATTGACCAAGAACGTGCTTATGTGGACCATGGGTACGGCCCTACCATCTTATCCGAGCACTTGCGAGCTTTTATCGCAACGGAGTGGGGTTCTGTAACAGATCGCCTGAATTTAGGTATGCGCAAGTCGTGCCAACGATGCTAGAGATCCACTGACTTTCCTTCTAGGTCCTGGTGAACTAAAATTAGGTTTGGACGTCAACAACAGGACGAGTCTCAGTTTATATAGACCAGCGCAACAGGACTTGACAGTCTCAATAGCCGAAAATCTGGTGCCTGCAGAGGTGCCAGACAAAATAGCCAACTTCATGCAGATTGCCATGGTTAAGCCCATGGTTCGACGGTTTGAATTTGCGTCTCTGAAAGGTATGCCCTCTGATAGTCCTCTAGGCACAGCAATGTGCTAATTCTTTCTAGATCTTCATACTTTCCAAGCAGCTGTAACGGGGTTCAACGTCTTATTTGACAGGTATGTACTTCTACGCCATCGACCAGGTAGCCACCTGCCCGTGCTCACTACAGATATTAGCATTGCTTCCTCGTTTATGATCTCCCGGCGCAGAATGGTAGTCCCGATCTACAAAAAGTGGGAAGCGAGTCTGGCTCGCATTCAAATCGTTCAACAAGAGAAAGTCGTACAGCTGGTCGCTTTCTTGGCCGATTTCAACCATGGACGATGCATGAACTTTGTACTCAAGGGCACGGATACGCTCGAAAGTTTTGGAAGATCGGGCAAATTCTGTATTAGGCTTGTTGACGCCAAGTTTGCGCTCCCGAAAACCGAAGATGATCCCGCTTCGGACTTTGTTTGTTTGGATATGCTAGAGTATCCCAGTGAACATGACGATATAACGATTGCCTTTGACTCCGAAGCTGGTATGCTCTCATGTGTATCAGAGTCGCGTTCGACGCTAACAATATCAATAGATCGTTCAGCTTTCCAAGCTGCAGTACCGGGAACAGTCCGTGAGCCATCAAAGATAGGCTCCCTTCGGCGGTGATCCGGTTTGGTCGATTACTCATGGGTTACGAAGTCTTTCGCCATATGTACATTATTGAGTCGACGTACCAGTTGCCATTATCGCGATATACCCCTTTTTCCATCTATTATCGGCCGGTTCATTCGTTCTCTTATCTGGCTATCACGCAATACAGATCCACAGCCAGCCCGCTTTGACATCACGTGCGGGTCCTGCTGTGGGGTTCGCTGACAGTTGGCCATTTGACTCCCCCGCTGCGCGACGGGACGGTCTTCTTTTCTGTCTTCACAATATGCTGTAATTAAGAAACATCACAATGCCTCATTCCAATCAAGCAATTGGCGCTTCTACGCGCTCCCTACACGCGGATGATGAGCTTAATGTAGTTACTGACGTTGCTCCCCCGCTGCATGTCTCTACGACCTTCCGATACTCCGACAATCCGGACGAACTGGTACCCCTCACAGATCTCAGCGGCGTACGTCACAACAGTTTGATTAATCCTTTCCGTGCAAATTTGGTCTTGTTTTGACATTGTCAATTCGTACTCTAGTATGATCAAGAAAGGACTAGTCATGTCTATTCACGGCTCTCCGCACCCAATCCGACCCGTTTCGAAGTCATTTTATCGTCGCTCCTCAACGGCGAAGCGATCAGCTATTCCTCGGGACTATCCGCCCTGAATGCCGCGCTTGTTTTGCTGAATCCTCGGCGAATTGCCATCGGTAATGGCTACCATGGGTGCCACGGTGTGATCGAAATGTTCAGCCGCCTGACCGGACTCCAGAAGCTAGATCTCAACTGCCCCGCCGAGCAGTTGGAGGCCGGGGACGTTATCCTCTTGGAGACGCCCGTAAACCCGCACGGAACTGCTTTCAACATCGCCGCATACGCGGACAAGGCCCATTCCAGAGGCGCGTACCTGGTTGTCGACAGCACATTCGCACCGCCAGGCCTACAAGACCCCTTCATCTGGGGTGCCGATCTGGTCATGCATTCCGGGTCCAAATACTTTGGCGGGCACAGTGACGTGCTCTGCGGTGTCCTTGCAACGCAACGCAAGGATTGGGCGAAAAAACTCTTCCAGGATCGATTATTCTTGGGCAGCGTGATGGGTAACATGGAGAGTTGGCTCGGTGTCCGCAGTCTGCGCACCCTCGAGGTTCGCGTCCAGCGCCAGAGCTCGAACGCGGCGAACTTGGTCTCGTGGTTGGACAAGGCATTGCACGCGCAGAATCCGGTACCGGGTAGCGATGAAGCTGTCACGCAGGCTGCTCTCGAACAAGTCTTCCACGCGAGTCTCCAGAAAGAGGATGAGGAGTGGCTACTGAAACAGATGCCCAATGGCTTCGGGCCTGTTTTCTCCATCACCATGAAGGAGGAGGATTATGCGCGGAAGCTCCCTAGCAAGCTTTCGTTCTTCCAGCACGCTACCAGTCTTGGAGGGGTAGAGACGTTGATCGAGTGGCGGACAATGAGCGACGCGACGATAGATCGTCGATTGCTTCGGATCAGTGTAGGGTTGGAGAACTGGGAGGATCTCAAGAGCGATCTTATGAGTGCTTTCAGGGCGCTTACTGAGACCAAATAAATACATTGTAGCTAATTCATATATATAATGACCCAAGGATCGGACTTCTAATCACATCACATCTTGTAGCAGCGACTGGAATAGTTGCCTCCACATCTTTCTGATCCGTGTATTTTTGTCTATAAGCCTTTGGCGGCCCCGCTGTGCTCTCTTAGACCTCGTAGATACTTGTGATGCAGAGGTGTGGAGTCGCGATAAGAGTTACCCCGCACCAATTCCATCTCTAATCTTCATCACTCTGCAAGCCATAACCGCAAAATAGAGCGAAAGAGCATCAAGCTGTTTCCCATTTGACGTCTTTGCCGACAATCCCAGCGAGCATTTACCTGCCATCTCACCCGCCACCTTAAACGAATTACCTTAGCAACACAGCACAACCCTCCGAGGATGACCGCCCAAGAAACACAACCAGCCTTCCAGATCCACTACTTCTCCAGCGCGTCATCCTACACAAATAAAGCAACCGAGACGCTCCCCGCTCCTCTCCCACTGTCCAGGCTCTTTGATGTCCTGGAGGAACGATACCCCGGTATCAGGGACAAGGTGCTGGTTAGCTGTGGGGTGAGTCTGGGAGAGGAGTATGTGGATGTTGAGGCCGACGGTGAGGTAGTGATTGGGGCTGGAGACGAGGTCGCGATTATTCCGCCTGTTAGTTCGGGGTGACGTGTTGTCTCATTTACTTGGGATTGAGTGGGAGGCTGTGATGTCTAGATACCCTAGAGTGGTTTCGAGTGGGTTTGTGCTTGAATGCAGAAGAGGTATATCTTTGGTCTCTGGTTATTGGTAATGATGCTGATATATATGTAACAGGCAGATACTTCAAATATTAGCGCTAGGAAGCCATGCAACGGAAACTCTAAGTCAAGAACAGAAAGAACAGAAAAGACACATCAATCATATTAGCCATTATTTCCAACCCGGTCATACCGCTGTTTTTGTCCTTGTCAAGAACGCCTTTAACCTCATCGCGAAGCAAGAGGCTTTCATCCTTCCAGCTTMTCACCACCAGTCGCCTTCTTCTGCCGCCAGAGACAGACGCAGCAGACCGCCGAAAAGAAGAACAGAATACTACAGCATCGATTCCGTCAGCTGGATCTTTCGAGAAAGAGGGCAGGGGCATAAAAGGAAGAAACTCACCACAAAGCAATGCTCAACCCCCAGATCGACTTCGCCTCCAGACAGACGCCCCTAGACGCCGCAATCCAGTTCTTGTAATCGACATTGCCGCTCAGATGGTCCAGATAGTTATCCAGACTCGTGGCAAAGGCATACGCAGACGATCCATCACTCGTCAGATCCCCGATCACATCGCACTCGAGGTACGAGAGTGGCTTCCCGATGATAACCGCGACGACGATGACGGCGACAAGCGCCAGTGCGTCCATGATGGCGCTCGCGAGGAACGGGAGGATGTCATCTATGAAGAGGATGAAGGAGATGACGCAGTAGATGACGGCTATGCAGGTCTAAGCAACCTCTGTTAGCTCTGTGAGATGAGGGATGTGGGTAGAGGGCTAACGTACCACGGTGATTGTGCCGATGAAGATGCTCGGCGGCGTTGCGTTCTTGGAGACGATCTCGGCGATGAAGTTGGCAGTTAGGCCTATGATGGTGATGAGGGAGCAGGCCTGGACGATCCGGGCGATTTGGAAGGTTGCACCTAGTGCGCCGTATTTTCCCATTTTGATTGTGTAAGATTGAACAAACGTTATATGTCTATGGTGTCGAAGGAGTGTGGTATGTGACTGTTATAGTAGATATCTGTTGAAATGGAGAACACGACCAGTCGCGGAAGGAATGTATAATATAGAACCCAAATGAAATATGAAAATCCAAAGGAATGTAGATTATATCTCTGAAGAAATGATACGATGCAACAAGTAAAGACAAAGAACTGATCTGATATCCTCATCCACCCACGGCAGGCAATAACCCTTTTATAACAACGCTGCCCTCCCCGAAACAAAGCATCCTCAACCTCAAAGACTCAACAAACGATCACCATGAATAAATTTAGCATCTCCAAGAATCTAGACCCAGCCCCATTGTCCCAGACGGGCGGTTTCCCATGCGCGCGAGGCGTCAAAAGCGTCGATCCGTACAAGCGCCCGGAGCACTACTCGTCGACGTTGGACGCCATCATCGTCCCGATCTAGACCACGGACTGAGATATATGAAATAAGTGGCGGTGCGCGAAACCCCATTATGACTCTAGCCTTTCAGCCCTAGATTTGGGACCCAGAGTCGACGGGAGGATGGGGACAGGATGTACACGCTCTGTTCTCCACCCCGGCGCTTGGAGAGAGGGCATTGTCTTCCGCCGGGCGAATCTCAGCCAACAGCCCGGTGAGCTTAATTCAACCTGACACAGCGACAAGGGGAGCGGTTCCTGAGGCTCTTGGGAGATCTATTGTGAGAGAGAAATGAAAATGTCTCGTTTCATGGCTTGACTCTGCATTGTCTAGAAGCCAATCACAGCGATGTTTTGGGGGAGCTTGATTGAGCTCTTTCATGGCGAGGGGTAGTATCTATTTTTGTTGTCTAAAACTGCGACAGGGCATAAACAAAGGAAGGAAATGTAATAGAAGAAGCAAAAAGAACTGAACGGAGCATAACGAAACACGAAGACGCTGGCCTTTCTCCCTGTCGATTCGCCCGATCTTCTCAAGCCGGGAAATGGTCCCGAGCACTGTTTGGCTAGAACTGGGGCCCTTTAGTATGCTGATACCTACTACGACAGGTGCATGACTTAAATTCCTAAGCAGAACTTTCTAAGTGAATCTGCGGTAGAGCACTGCTACACCCCGGCCCGACTTTGACTGATAGAATGACTGAAAGGGCGGTGCATTGATGGACGTCTGATAAAATGGCATAACAATTTCGACGGCGATTAACAGTGCGCGAAGTTGATGATGCATCACTAAGAAAGCACACTCCTCGTCCATATCATCAAGCTTGATGTTTCACTTCCGGTCCTTGCCAGCGATTTGATGGCTCAGCGTCGCTAGGCTCATTGCTCYGGTGAGAGCGTGCAAAGATCGTATGACTGCAGAAGGGAATGATCGTATCCCTATCTCATGTGATCCAGATTCGATGTCAGTCTGTTGAGCAGGTTCAGTGGCTTCTAATGGATGGACAGAGGAGTCCTTTGTAGGAAGATATGTCTCTCTGGTTGCAAGGGTGAATACATGGTCGACGAGTTCAGTCTCAACCGTCAAGTGACAGAAATGCTTAGGATATTGGATATTGCGCTGGTATTTGCTTTCTGTGCTGTTTATTCCTTCAGCACATATCCTAAGCGTTCAGCTGGTAGCAAAGTCCAGGCCGAGGAGCCTTGAATCCAAGCTATATATACAAAAGAATAGTCCAAAATGGATCAAAGCTAGCACACTGTCAATGGAGCCTGAATCCTCCACTAGTTCTCCTCTGGAAGAATCCATCTGGATCATACTTAATTCTGGTTTGCAATGCCTGCTCCCTGGTGCGAATACGACCCCAATAGTCCTGTCGGAAGTACGCATCGTTCATGAAAAGTGGTCGGTAAACATCAGGCAAGAGTCCCTTGTCAATGTTGTCGCTGATAATGTTATCAAAGCCGTTATAGAGATTCTGATTGGCAGCATCAATCTTAGAGTCGTCTGCCGCAAAACCATAGGAGAAGTCTAGCTCAATGATAATATAGTCTTGATCTGTGGGAAAGTCGAGAAGATCCTTCCGGGCTGTTAGCGCATTTTCTAGATGCTACGAATGCTGTTGGGACTTACTCCTCCTCTAGCCTTGGCTTTGCTAGTGATACTTCGAGGCATTGGCTGGAATGCAATGGACCCGAGCATGTTGGGCACTTCAAGTACAGTGTTCGTCACATTAAACCAGTGGTCGTAGTATGTTTGCATGACCTCTGCGCCGACGGTCTTGTTCGGCAGAGGAGTAGTCTCAGTAGCAATAGTATACCGTTGGCCACTGCAAGTAAAGTCAGTAGCCGACACGAGTACTAGGAAGATCAACTTACTGGAGAATGAAGATATCGTTGTTTTTAAGCTGTTTCAATATGAGATAGGCTACTCCTGATGACTGACGGCAGGGTTACTAACCAAGTCATAGTAGCTGTCCCAGGTTCTAGTAGTATCGGTCGGTCCGATTGCCGTAAAATTTGTAAAAACACCCTCTGGTGGCTCAGGTCCATCATAGAAGAGGAACATGATCCAGGTGTGGATCAACAAGCCATGCTCACAAGTCACAATGATAGCGGCCTTGTCATCGGGATAATGCTCGGTGAAATCACGAAGAGCGCTCAAGACTTGAGGCGTCTTATCGGGTGTAAAGACATAGTTTCCACCCCATACCTGTGCTATTTAGATTATCTCATATAAATAAGACTGGACACGGTTTACCTTATGGTCTTGAGGATGCGTCTGGAGAGTGTATGCAGTAACAATGCCAAAGTTGTTACCGCCTCCCTTAAGAGCCGCGAAGAGATCTACCCTCAGGTCAGTTTGGTAGCGAATCGTGCATTCCGCTCTGCTTACCAGTATTTTCCTTCGCGTTGGCATTGACCACGGTTCCATTGGCAAGAACCACTTCAAAGCTGACTACATTGTTGGCTGCCCAGCCATACTGCGAACTCAGAAAGCTCAACCCGCCTAGCTGAATCAGTGAAATGTCAACCATCGCAAGGGGCTGCAACTTGCCTCCGAGCATATATCCTCCGACGCCCACGCCACCAAGACGTCCACCGACGAGTGCCCGACCAGTACCATCGAGGCCTTTCTGAGCATCTTCCCACGAAAGTCCAGGACCGACGATAGCAGTCTGGTCTTCGGGATTGTAGATGACATGATCAAGATTCTTGGTCGAGATGAGCAGGCCATCTTGAATGCTGGCGAAGCCATTGTTGGGCATATGCCCGCCTGACTTCACGGCGAAGAGGTCGTCAAAATTGTGCAGTTGCTTCACAATCGCCGACATCTCCAGAGCGCTCGAAGGAGCGACAATACATGTCGGCTTCAGGTCTCCACAGGCAGCAGACCAATATTTCGTCAGGTCCTTGGAGTAGTCGAGACTCAGCGGCTGTTCAATCTCTATGCCCTCTTGCTTGATCACCGAGCAGATATCTGCAGCCGCAAGGCGAGCAAGAGCCACCGCGGATATTGCTACAGCTGTGCGCCATGGCTGACTTAGAGTCATGATGGCGGATTGTAGGCTTAAAACAACTTATAGAACACCAATCCAGAGTCTCTGGGGAAAGCATCATGGCAAACAATGCACAATGATTCATGTATTTATACATATTAATTGACAAAGGGGCGTGGAAAGGGGCTCGGTCTTGGAAAGCAAAGGGAACTTCTATTCTAAAAAAGGCAATGGAAGACTCGCCGTCCATCCATTTTCAGAAAGCAATGCGAGAACCCACGGGGTGACCGGATAGACAAATGAATATCCTCGGCAACAAAGCAGGGTTGACATCTTTGAAGGCTCTAGTGTTGGACTTTTCTTGATCTAGTCCTTCTACACGTGAAGGAACAAATCTCCCCCATTATAGAGGTCTCGCAATCAGAAGGCGAGCGCGTTATGTCTGCAAGAAGACATTGCAGAATATCCAATCAATATGTCAGCGGATGCGACATAACGGAGAACGTCAATCCCACGTTAGTTGATGCTTGCACCTTATCCGCACGGAGTATTAGGAGGATGCTGGAATCTAGCTTCGTGATCAACAGGGCACAGCTTCAGTTGGGTCACAATGACTTGAGTGGTCGAATCACGTATTGATTTAGCCGAAGACCGGCCATGGTGAGGACAGAGCCATGCAAGAACAGATGGAGTATCCCCGAAGGTTGCCAAGACAGCCATACTGATCATCAAGCGGTTGATCACTCCGAAAACAGTTCTCTGCATCGCGGCATAACAAACTAGTTCATTGCAGGCTTCCGAAGGTCCGCCATTGATCACTGGGATGGCAGACTTGCATTACGCTGGACTGCACAACCTATCTGGTAATGGAAGCTTGCTTTGATGGGTCACCGTCCTTGATGTATCCCTGTCGTATTAACGAGTGAACTATTGCTTAATATGTGGCCTACCCCATCGGATGGCTTAAGCGAGGCCGTGTGGAGAATTACAGTAGCTTTCGGCCCAACGTTGAACTTTCTCTCGACTCACGAGTCACGACCCGTTGCCCAAAACGGGGAAATCGCGGGGAATTTGCATCCGTGGCAGGCCCGGCGCAGATGACGCGGTGCCGTTGGATCGATAGATAATAGTAGCTAGTACTAAGAAAACGCCATAAGAACATAGCGATAGACAGTTCGGTTAGGCCGTAGGGGAAATGATTGGCAAGCATCTTAGAGCCTTGGCCATCATTTCCCTGTTTTGCGACGGACTGCATACCCTTTGTGCCGTGACACAAAATTGAGAATTTGAATATTGAGACAACGAAGTCGTCCCGTGGGATGGTGACATTTGCATGGCCAGCCTAGGATCGAGCCTTTCATCGAAGTCCCTTGCCTAAAATCGCGCTGCTGGTCTTCAGTGAGCATCATACACTACCATACTGTCCCTATTGGATGCGGTCCCATTGGAAAAAGTATGACGCCTTGGACCATTGTATAGCAGAAGACCAGATGGGTGTAAGGAGGAGCCTCGTAGGTCGGGCAGGGTTGAACCTCTGGGAGGACCACGGATTTCTTTGTAAATTATTTGATAAAAATAGAAATCCGAGCAGAATCGGCAGCGAAGATACTCCGTCCAATATGCGAGAACGAAGTGCATCAACTGGGAAATGATGAAGTATTGGCTGGGAGCCTGGGACCATACTCCGACCGCCAGGGCGGTGAGCTCATAAATGCCGGCAAAATGCAACAAGTTTTCGACGGCAAGCAAATGATGGCCCGACACTTCTTGAATCTCCAGGGGAGATTTCGGTTGTACTATGTCTTGATTCCTGGAGATGTCTTTGTTGGTGCAAAAGACGTACATTTCCCGTGGGGTCATCGGGGCGAGCCATCTGCTGAAGCGAAACCTCTTAACTGGTCGCTTGGGGCGCATACCAAATTGTCCATGCCTCGCTCGACGGACGCTGACTACGAATGTTAAAGTGAGTACTAACTGAGAATACGTCATTTGCTTGCTCTGATAGAATTTCTGATAGACTTCCTCCGCTGGGCAGGATACGCAACAGACTACCTCCATCGAGGATATCCTTTTAAAAACAGAGTTCGAGGAGAACAAAGACATTCGGAACTATCTGCGCAAATGGCAGGAGACGCACCCGAACATCTTGGACCCGGTCCGAGGACCCGGGACGGCGAGCACATTAGATCCCTCGGCTCCTTGGGTGGGAAACATGCTCAACGACAGCAAGGAGGCGTTTGATGCTGGTAGTGATGTGGTACGCGAGGCAGACGAGGAGAGCTTGGAATTTCACAATATCGGGGACGAAGGAGAGGGAGTAGATGAATTCCTCCAGCCAGGGGACTTGGTGGCTCTTTCTACGTGAGTAATGCCTAGTTTCTCCTTCTCTAGTGCTTGGACTCACTAACTCTTGCTTCTCTCGAAGTGTTGACGGCATTTTGAGCTTTGCAATCTACGTCCGATCGGTTCACAAGCAGCAACAGTTCTATACAGAGCGAGGGAAATGGCGAATTGCTCACAGCAAAGATCTGGACTATGTTGTGAAGGGATTCGCTCCTCCAGAATTGGTCGCTCCCCTTCTGCCACATTTTCCGGACACGATGGCTCAACTGAGCTTTGAAATGCAGTCAGCCATTGAAGGTGGAGTGCCGAGACCTGTTGGTGCCGCTCTCTTGCAAAGGATCAGTGACTTTGAAGCAAAGATCCAAGATGTCTACCGAGACAATGCGCATCTCCTTGATAACATGCATGAAATTGTCGCAGACGAGGAAGAGAAGCTAGAATACACCCTGGAAGAACTGGCATGTAAAGCCTTGGGCATAGAGGAGGAGGTCTTGGACGATGCTATCTTATTCGCTGTGCATCAGGCTATCCGCCGGAACTCGTTTATTATTGAGAATGATCGAAGTTCGCTGTTCACAAATCATTACCTGGTGCAACCGAAACGAGTTGCCAGACTCCTCGACACTGTCACCAAATGGGTACATGAACATCAAGAATACCTCGTCCGGTCTGCGACAGGCAGGGTAATAGGAGACGAGAAGTCCAATATCAAGGACCATCCTCTGCAACAGTTCCTGCAAAAAGCCCAGCGTCTCATACGGGTGAGCAGGAAAGTGCGGTCGCCGACGATCATGGCGAGCGTTGGTCCGACGGCACACCGGTTCGCACCTGGACAGGATGGAAAGCCCATGGTGTATCGCGAAATGCTCACCGAGAAGTTCAATGACACCGATCGAATGATCATAGAATATCTGTTGCTATGGTGCATACCTCCTAGGAGAATGAACTCCGGACCATTGAGGTCGGCTGGTTCCCACATCATGCGCGCTACTGGAATGTATACCACTCTCGAGCTGAACGCAGCGACCGTCAAGCTCTTCTTACAGGAATTAGGGGTGTTATCTCCGTGGGAAAATTTGCGATTACTAGACCAAAGTTTAGCTCTTCCCGGACACGGTGTCTCGCGCAGGTCAGATGCTATGTGGGAGGATGTCAAGCAAGTGTGCGAGAAGCTCAAATCGGAAGGGCTATCAGATAGAATGCAGAGCCTGCGGACTGACTTCGGTAATCTGCCAGTCTACTGCGTGGACAATCCTGACGCGCAAGAGATCGATGATGGAGTGTCTTTGGAGCCTATTCCAAGCTCGAATGACACTTTCTGGATACACGTCCACATTGCCAATCCCTCCGCATTTGTCGAGCCTGACAGCTCAATCATGGATTACGCTGCCGCGCGTAATCAGACCTTATACGTTCCGGAGCGCACATACCCGATGCTGCCCAGCTCATTGACTCAGAGCCATTTCAGTTTGGCTCCTGGTCGCCCTACGCTCACATTCAGTGCCAAGATGAATTTGCAGGGTGAAGTCCTGGAAACGAAAATCGCCAATGGCATTGTCAGAAACGTAATCTATATCACGCACGACAAACTGCGTGGTCTTTTTGAACCAACCACTGGATCGTCGGATACCCTGACAGTGGGGGGCACTATTACGCAGCCGCACTCTCGGGAAGAGTTGCAGAGCTCGCTAGCACCAGAAGACGAGCGCGCTTTCCATACCTTGCGTAAACTGATGCTGGCATTTCGTGAATACCGGCTCAAAAACGGGGCCATGGAGTGGCCGTCGCCTGCGGATAATTCTGTCTCTGTCTTCGCAGGGACGGCGCCCATGAAACCCTACAACATGGATATCAGCACAGGCCGGTACTACTTGGGCGATCCAATCATCCAGTTGCGCTCGCAGGACATCGACCCCCACGAAGTACCGGACCTCACAAAGCGAAATCTCATCTCGACCTTGATGAATTTCGCTTGTTGGATCTCTGGGAAATGGTGCGCAGAGCGCAACATCCCAGCAGTCTACGACGGAACATGCTATCACCCCGAATACCCGAGACTAACGAACGAAAACATGGCTGAATACGGAGGAGAAGGATGGCTGCACCTCACAGCCCCCAAGGGTATCTCCTCATCGACCCCCATCCCACATATTCCCCTCGGCCTGGACGCCTACATCAAATCCACAAGCCCACTTCGGCGATACATTGATCTCCTCGCACACTACCAGATCGAAGCCGCGCTGCGCTTCGAGTACGAACACGGGCGTCCACTAGACGCCATCAAGGATGCCTCTGTTCTCCCTTTCTCCAAGGACTATATCGACAAGTATATCTCCAGATCACGCTGGAAACGCAACCGCATCAGGGACTGCGACTCCGCCTCCAAGCAATTCTGGTCGTGCCTGCTCCTCTTCCGCGCATTCTACTTTGCTGAATGCGCATTACCCGAGACGTTCTCATGCCTCCTCCACAAGCCATACAGCTCTACGTCCATGGCAGGCACGGAGTTCGGCCAAGGATACGCTGGCGTCATCACGTCTTTAGGAGTCCGCTGCCAGATTCTTACGCACAACGTACCGGATGCCAACATCCTCAGTGTTGTTGAAGCTAAGATTACCTCGGTTGATCTGGCTCGCATGCTGGTCGTCATGGAGGCCACGCGAGTGGTCAAGCATTTTGAGCGGGTTGGTGAGTGGCGTTAGCGCTTCACG